TACATATTATTGATTTGTTCACGCTGAAATCATAGATAAAGATGACCACCACTCTATCACTATCACAATATCAATTCGTCGTAATTCATATAAATCTGCTAGGAATTTTGTTGTCGCACGTGGTCAGGTTATTTAATTGAAATTGAATTGAAAGGTGATCACATCTTCTGAACTATCTTCAAATAGATATGTATTGCACACTCTACATTTCAGGGTCAGAAATATTGTGAAAGATTTGATTATCGCCCGGAACGATTAATAATTCGATAAATTGTATTAATCAAACAAATTCACTTATTTCAATTCGTAGCTCATAGTAGTTTCATAGAGTTATCATACATGCTATTTCTAATATTGCCCCCGAGCCTACTCTCAGTAATATTTCCCAGCAAATATTGCACACGATGCACCTGATTGAAACATCAAAAGGTGCCATAATGACTTGCCTTGATTTCACTGAACGAAACTCAATTACGGCCTTCTCCTTTGAAGCGGTAATTACACCTTTCTCCTTCACTAGTTCCCAAAAGGCAGGTGTAGCCAAAGGCGTAGGCAGGGAGCTGGACGTACTTTTTGTTTTATGTATGGGTTATGAAACAAATTGTAACTAGAGTGAATTAGATCAAATGCCAAATTTTTAATGAGAATTTCGAATAATCATCCATACGTTACTTATCTTACCGATCAGGATAAGGCCTTGTTGTCCTCTGCTGTCCGAAGAAGTCGTCTCCACTCTACTCGATCCATGGCCACACTTCGCGAGCCTCGTAGTCTGCGAAGGATCCGCAAGTCGCCTTCTACTCGATCCACCTTGCCCTTGGATGGACTTCCTGAAAATCGTGCCACTCGTGTCTATCCCGGCTCTTCTGATCACACCTTCTAAAGCGATGTTGAATAGCAGACACGAAAGTCCATCACCTTGCCGTAACCCCCTTCGAGATTCAAAGGGACTCGAGAGTTTCCCCGATACTCGAACAACGCCGAGTGATGTGCGTCACCTTGACCAATCGCGTCAGTTTATCCGGACATCCGTACTCGTGTATAATCTGCCATAGCTGATCTCGATCGATTGTGTCGCATGCGGATTTGAAATCCATGAACAAATGATGTGTGGGCACGTTGTATTCGCGGCATTTCTGCAGAACCTGCCGAATCGCAAAAATTTGGTCCATGGTAGCGCGGGCACCCTTGAATCCCGCCTGGTATTGCCCCACAAACTCTCTTACAAATGGTGACAGGTGGCGGCATAGAATTTGGGAGAGTACCTTGTAGGCGGCGCTCAGCAGCGGATCACGCGATAGTTGCAGCAATCCAACTTGTCGCCCTTTTTGTTGATTGGGCATACGACACCTTCCATCCACTCCTTCGGTAATATCTCCTCCTCCCAAATCTTGGCAATAACCCAGTGCAGCGCTCTAGCCAGTGCTTCACCACCGTATTTTAATAGCTCACTTGGTAGTTGATCTACACCAGTTGCTTTGTTGTTCTTCAGCCGACCGATCAACTCCTCAAATTCTTGAAGATCAGGGGCTGGTAGCCTGTCGTCTTCTACGTGTGCTCCAAGGTCTGTTGCCGTGCCACCTTCGTTTTCTGCTGCTTCACCGTTGAGGTGCACGTCATAGTACTGCTTCCTCCTCTCAATCACCTCACACTCTTTCGTGAGAAGGTTACCGTCCAAGTCCTTGCACATATCGGCTTGCGGCACGTACCTTTTTCGCGAACTATTTAGCTTCTCGTAGAACTTCCGTGTGTCGTTTACGCGGTACAGATTTTCCATTGCCTCACGATCTCGGTCTTCCTGCTGACGCTTCTTCCTTCGGAAAACCGTGTTTTGTCTGTTCCGCGCTTGTCTGTATCGCTCCACATTCAATCTCGTGCGGTGTTGCAGCATTCTCGCCCGTGCTGCATTCTTCTCCTCTACTAAAAGTTTGCATTCACCGTTAAACCAGTAATTTCTTCGGTCCGGGATTGCAGTACCTAGTGCCGCTGCAGCAGTACTACCTATGGCGGAACGGATGTCCTTCCAGTCATCTTCAAGAGAAGTTGCTCCAAGCTGCTCTTCCGTGTGTAGTGCAACTTCCAGCTGCTGCGCGTAGTCCTGGGCAACTCCGGCGTCCCGTAGTTGCTCAATGTTCGGTCGCGGCGTTCGACTTCGACGGGTGTTATGCACCGTCGAAAGTTTTGAGCGCATGCATACTGCAAATAGGTAGTGGTTCGAGTCTATGTTCGCACTGCGGTACGTGCGGACGTTGATAATGTCGGAGAAGAATTTCCCGTCGATTAAAACGTGATCGATTTGGTTTTCTGTGTGTTGATCAGGTGATCTCCAGGTTGCTTTGTGGATATCCTTGCGGGGGAAAAAGGTACTCCGAACTACTATACCCCGAGAGGCTGCAAAGTTCACGCATCGTTGGCCGTTGTCGTTCGATACGGCATGCAGGCTGTTTGGTCCGATTACCGGTCTATACATTGCCTCCCGTCCTCCCTGAGCGTTCATGTCATGCCGCTTGATGCCCACTTTTCCATACCTTTTGTCCCGCCTAGCAAAGTTCCTGCAGTGCTACGACTTCGAAGTTGCGTGGTTGAAGTTCGTCATAGATTAACCTATCGCAGACCGGGAAGCCGAGAGATTTGCAGTTCCATGTTCCGAGTTTCCAATCTTAGTCCTTATTTCGTCGCGTAGGTCTGTGCCGATTGTTCCGATCCGTATTTCTTTCTTCAGTATTTGCAACTTTGTTTTTTCCAGGGCGGCTTGTTGGGCCTGCCCTAACCCCCTGTCTCACCGGGGGACCATCGTGCACAGCTCTGTTTAGAGTCCCACGCTGGCACTAGGACGGTGATCAGCAGCTTCTAACATGGAGAACAGACGACGTTTTGAGCCACACCTCCATGGTGAACAGACGCTCGGGTTTGATGAAGCATTTCCTCTATCACCGTACTATGGTTACCGCACCAGTGTTCGCGTCGCATCTCTTCACTTTGCTATTGCTGGACTGGCAACATTGCCCAGGCTACGCCACCCAGATGTGTCCATGTGTCAGCTGGAAGTCTTTTGTTATCATATGACTCGGGGAGGCGTGAAGTAGGGACTTGTGAGGACCAGGGCTAGGTATTTCGCTCCTTCCAGGTTGTCAACTCACCATTTTGTAGCCCAATACGATGAAAGCTATGAATTACGATATTAGTGGAACACTCACAAGAACAAAAAGAAGAGTAAGCTATTAATAATTAACCCAAAAATAGTTAAAAATTCTAAATAAAATCTGTGCAGACGTCTTCAGTGTTAATTGCACTAATGGAACTATCGAAATCCTTCGTCGAAACTCAAATGTCATTAGCCAAATACATGCATAGTCCATATAGGTCCACCGTTGTATAATTCAAAAGCCACATGTGAAAGGGCATACAAGCTTTTTGTAAACAAACCTACGTAGGCCCTTTTCTCGCCAACCGAGGGTCGCCCATGCAAACCAGCAATATCATCGGGAAGGGGAAAGTTTCCCCTACCCGGTGATGTTAAAGGTTTGCGTTGGTGTCATATGGGTGGTGAGAATAGAACATAAGAAGGTTTGTTTACAAAAACCTTGTATGCCCTTTTCACGTGTTGTTATAGAATTGACCATTTTGTCAAGCAGTTTTGGCGTGACTTTCTACCAGCGATTTCACAAAACTGGAACAACTAATTTCTATTTTTTATGAAACGCACAAATGATGGCTACTTTTCTAAAAATAATAAAAAATCTAAAAATAATGTTTTATTTCAAAGTTTGAGTGGTAGTAAACGTCATTTTAACTGCTCGAATGAAGTGGTAAATTGACAATGCACCCGTGTACTGCATGAGAATTGCGGGCTCGAATCCCACCGTGCCCTTAGATTTTTTCGCAAATTTTCTCACACACACGTCTCTTACCGATATGTGCTTACCTCTCAGTATGTTCAAAATTTTTTACAAACATTTACAACATATATTTCATATAAAACACCTGCTTATTTACTTACTTGTATTCTTCGAAGCATAGCACAGTTATTGTGAAGTTTGACTTATTATCATAGATGAGTGGATGTATTTTATGGTGAATAAATATTAGAAACTGAATAAATAAGTCAAAAACTACCATTTTAGGCATTTTACCGGTCCAATTAAAAAAGTCACAGAAGATTTAATTAAACACTAACAGGAAAGATGGCAGCAGTGCACGTAAACTATCATTCGCTTTCCCTCTCATGGCGGTAAGCTCCAACTCGGATCAACTTTCAATACCGGCCCTGATGGAAGGATCTGCCAAATGTTTATTAAGGATCGTATTGATTAACATTGACGTCGACACCATAACAGCCTGACATTCATGTTCAGGATTTAAACAGAGGATAATACCGGTTGGAGCTTACCATCAGGAGTGTAAACACAAATTCTCACAGCGCGGTTTGGAAATGTGAATGTTTTGTCTACAACATCCTTATGCACTAGGTCGTGTGACGTCACATTTGCTGTTGTATAGAAATGAAGGAAGAAAAGAGATGGTTAAACTTTCCTCAACATACCAGTTGATATTTATGAAACATGAACAGTTTTGGCGTGGTGACATACACTGGACTGAATTTTACCAATACATTTAGAAAATGAAGAAGAAAACAAATTATTTACCCTTTGTAAAACCTTAAAGAACTTAACAATTTAATTTTTTAATAATTTTGGGTTTTGCCCTCCTCTCTGCCAACCTCTGCCAACGCCTATGAGCATAGCAGTTCCATAATGGTTCGTGTGCACTGAAATACACCAATCAGATGGTCTCTACCTTTCAATGAAAAGCGAGAGATGTTAACAAATCGGATGGGGTTGATATTTCCGTTTTAATTACCAACATTGAAAGAAAATTGATCGGAGAAGTTGGAATAGAGTTCATTGCTCGATAATGATCATCATTCGCAGCTCGTATGGTAATTTTTTCTTGTTAATCATGTATCAATGATTTATTTTTGTTTTCTCGCTCGAATACAGGTTGTTGCGATGTTGTGTTGGATCAGGAGGAAACTTTTGCCAACATGTCGATCAATATCCCTAGCCAGCAGAATTTGTTCCGCAAGCGGAACATTGGACCCACGGTGGAAGACAGCAGTAGGTTGCGTTCGTTATGGTTTCTTGTTTGGCGCTGTTTTACTTTTGGGTGGATTTTTTTTTAATCAAGCTTTCGCTCTAACCAATCCCGCTGAGTTTGGTTTCTGCTCCGAAAAATATCAAAAAAATTAACATCTTACAATTTCCACCCCAATTGATAAATACCATCCCCATTGGAATCCACAGTATTTGCTCTGCTCACCTAACACAGGCTTTTGTAGTACCCTTACTTTAATTCACTAATTTATATCACATAAATACCGTGATTCAAAAAGATTGATACAGGTTTTGAGCACAAAATTATCGATTCGTTTCACGTTATCACATGAATTATTGATTGTTCAATCACCATCAAAATGTCAGTGATTTTGCTGTAATTAATTGATGACTTTCCTGATCGATTGGAGTTATTGTGGGACGCATTTATTCAATTTAAAATGGATAATAAATCGGATTTACATATATTGAAAATTCAGCCAGCCAAGCGTCAACGTTTGTTCAACATCGGATCGTATTGGACCTGCATCTATCCAACAGTCAAGGCATAAAGTGAAGGCTGCTGGTGGTAGGTTGCGGTAAAACGCTTATTCACAGCGCATACACGCTGTTATTCATCATTGAAAAGGATGAGATTTCAAGCATGACATCTTTTGTTCGCAGCCCATGAACCATTTGGTATGCCCTACTGCAGTGCCACTTATTCGGAAGATATTAGTGTGACGTCTTTTGTAACAGCCTTTTCCTCACTGAAACAAATCTGCTGATTCTGCTGGAAAAGGTTACGTTTCACAATATTTGTGATGAAATTTAATAATGAGCAGATTTAACAGAAGCACACTAATAAGCTGTTTTTTCTTCTTCCAAGAATGCCATTTCCTCTACTTCTTTACTCTTATCTAAACTTCCCATTACAGTTATGTTTTGAGATTATGTTGCGTTTTGTGTTTGTTTTCAATTATGTACTAACTGCTTGTTTAGTTAGAACACATTTTAATCGTGACCCTTTATCGAACAGGTATACGACAAGAACGACCACCACACCTCCGGCCAGACACAATTCATCCTGCCATGCGAGAACGTGGCCGAGCGATTCCCCACGTTGGATCAGTACACAGCGAGCGACCACAGTCATCACCCAGGATCGTTGAGGGCAGGGTAAGTGATGATTTCCCATTTGGGTATTTCATGCTAATTCGAACACAGATATGCTTTTATCACGGTGGTGTAAGGTGCTGGATTACATGCTATTAGAGCTTTAGAGTAGCTTCAAAACAGAAGATTGGATGCACATTTATAAACCACTTTATTTAAACCAATTTTGACCGAATTCCATTCGCATAATTTTGACCAACTTTTCCGAAGCAAAAACGATCAACCATTTAGCTCATTTATCATCGACATGCTGCATCCAACCGATAATATTTTAAATCCAACTGACGCAATTCGATATTGAAAGCAGACACCGCGCAGTCCAAGTGAATTTCATGATCCACATGTCAGCGCGTAGGTCTACCAACCATGTGAGTGAGACCGAAGGAGATTTTCTGGGTATCAGACGACGCGTGTTTTTAAATACCAATGAATACATCCAACTCTGTTGCAGTCAGTGGTCATCTCACGAGGTCGTCTATGATGTTTTAAGCGCCCAACAACGGGAGCGCAGAAAAAAAAGGCAGTACAAAAACGGGAGCGTTGAAGCAGATGCTCCACCACATTGCAATAGAGTAGAGAAAGTGATTGTTAATTCGCTTGTGGGAACCTCGGTCAACGTTTAATGTTTGGGTCGGCTTTTTAAATAATGTGGCATACATGCGCTCTCTTGAACCAAGATTCATTGCCACTCTGTACTTATTTTCACATTTTAAAAACTTTGATATTTATGACAGAAATAATCAGTTACGCGGATGCAAAACATTCATTTTTTGGGTGAAATTTTGTGCTATTTATATGAGGCGTAGGTGGGTTGCAAGAAACCACCAATGACGGCGTACCATAGATGACACATTTATTTTTCATTTATGTTTATTCTTGACTCTCGCATTTTATGATGATATGAGTACATCAACTACACGAGTATCCTCAACCGTGCGAAAGAAAAACGGTCTTCTGTGTAAGGTACACCTGGGCGACTCGAAACGGATAGCGTAAATATCTACAAGTGGAATTGAATATTCACTGTGATTATTTTTGAGTGGCAAACTACTAGGCTAAACATAATCATAGTGATTATTCACTTCCACTAAGAGATACACCTGCCTGTGTTTCAGCTAGCCCCGGTGTACCTTATTCGAATGAAGCTATAAGTTTATCTCCTACTATACTGCATCAGAGCGATGATGGTGGCACGTTGCGTCGCATTTTTGCTTAGGCGGTTTTCGTCTATAATTTATTGTGGCGTTGAGTCAAATTTGCTCATTTTTTGAAAATAGACAGCAGTTAAGCGCTCAGTTGTGTTCTCAAAAGAGAAATTAGTCGCATTTTTGTGATGCTTCTGCAGCTTTCTGCTCTCATCGCGACCAGAGCACGACACAACAATATTGAATGATGTGACGCCATTGGATTATTTTATCGTGTGGCGGAGCAGACCGTAATTCGTTCGGGGAAATTTCTATTTGTTCGGTTTGCAATTTGATGGCGCACGGGGTGAATAAATATTGTGATTTGAGAAAATGTTCATCATTATTTAATTATATGTACATCGGTGTCATTACACCGATCAATATAACACTACTATTTGGAAGGCAATGAATTCTGTACGAATCGCTAGGTGTGTTCATCCATTTTGCCCAGCGATTTATTAAGCCTGCATAATGCTTTTTATACAATAGATAAGACAATATGGCACAATTTTGAAAATTATCTTGATCCAGATAAATGCAGTACGTGTAGAGCCATTTGTATACATATTCAGTATACCTATTAGAGTGGGTCACCGTTATATGAAATGTACCTCACCAAGCGAGAACAACCCTTTTTTGGTTCCATTTGGGGTCCTAAACAACTGTGCAATTTGGGGACGATTGGTTGTAGCCCGGCTTTCCGCATTGTGTTTGAAATTAGTATGGAAATTAGTATGGGAAAACCTACTTTTTTACATTTTTATCTATAAGGACCACAATTTTGCATCAACCATGAAACTAACCACGTTCAAATATAGTCCAGCAAGTGCCTAAAAACTTGGAAGTATGATGCTAAAATGTTTGTACAAAAAGTTATAACTGTTCAAATATTTTTGGTTTGAATCAAATGTAATAAAACGCTTTTTCTGCCAACACTGCCGGTGAACCAATGGGAGTCTGACTCCAAACTGAATTTTTTTGGAGTATTTGATAATTATACAAAAACAATTGCTCAATCTCACAAGCGTAGTTAGAGTACGGGGGAGGGAAGGGGGGGGGGGGGTGTAAAGGGGAGCTTTTTTTCTCCTCTGTTCGGGACATAAAACTACTTCGACCAGTAATTTGATCTATTGTAGTATATCCCGTGTCCTTAGTTAAGTGCATGTCGTATTACTTCATCACTATTGAGAAATGATGAAGTATTCGGTTTTGATACAGTTGTCATTCTTGCTTTTATCGCAAGGAATCGATTCTAATTGAAAGGTCCCGCTATGTATACCCTTCGGAGTGTTGAAACACAAAGGCGCGCCCCTTTGTCAGTCAAAATTGGACCATGCATCAGAACCCTAATCTTAACCACTTCAAACTAGGGAACAACGATTAGAAGATTAGGAATCAAATAGATGAAGACTAAATAACTAACTCATTTTTTTCCTTGTTTCAAGATCATCCTCGGTCCAGGCAACCCGAGGACTTATCACTATCAACAAGGCATAAAAAGTAACAAGGACTAAGATGTGTTCCTTTGATTACTGAAAAATCCTATTCCCGTAGTTTGAAGTAGTCAAGACAAGGAATCGGTGGTAGATCTTAAATCCCGTAACGTACCACGAAAAGGTGATCTACCCACGTTACGGGGCAAAGGGGAGCTTACTATACGCTGTTTGTGAATCGAAAATTGTTGAAGTGTAAATATTAAATATCAAGTTGAACATTACATTAGGCCTAAGTAACATTGACAGATTCTCTTCATCGAGTTTCTCTTTGTGTTCCCACGGCCATGTAAAGACATTCCCAGGTATTTTATCTAGCTTCTATTACGACAAACACAAAAAGAAACTGTTATGTGGTCAAGTTATTAACGAAAGAGAAATTTGACGAAGAGAATCGATCAATGTAACTTAGGACCTAATGCAATGTTCAGCTTGATATCCACTTGTCCGTCCAGTTGTTAGTGAGGTGATGTTGTTTGAATTATTAGCAGCTGGAAAATTTAAAATTTCAATATTAAAATATTAAAACGAAAGATGTCTTCACGAGTTTCATCTCCGACGTAGGCACAATCGGATTTCGCTCGTTGGTCTATTTTTAAGTGGGCTACGTTTTAGTTGGGCTCCCAAGTCAAACGTAATTTCTTCAGTGCTGATTCCTTTTCGAAATTTTGACCGACTTTATGCGAAAACCGGCAAACGAGTGGAGTAGTGATACAGATTATTGTAATGCGATACAAAACGATTGCTAACAATCGATGTGGTGAAGCTAATTTCTGACTTTATCAAGACATCCACCCAAGATCAAGTTCAACAGCAATATTTGCTCAGGTGATCGAGCAGCATCGAAAGGAGTACCCTGAGAAATCGTAAAATAAATTAAACTGAAATACAGTAATGACCCGATTTTGTCAGCCCCTTTGTGCATTAGACTTTTATCATTAAATCATTTCATAAAATCGTAATTCCTGATCATGCATCTTCAAGATGGGTGTTTAAGGTATACTTTGGTGCAATAAAACCATTGAAAATGCGCATGGGTTTCGTACAACATTAGAAAAGAGTTTCAAAAAGGTGGCTGGCAAAATAGGGTCATTACTGTATAATAATTACAATCCAATGATATTTCTGTGTATATGTCTTACATTGTATATTACACCAAAAGATTAGGGAAGGAGGTGCTTTCAAACTGCTCTTATGAGATTTGGCAAATGTTTTTTTTATAACCCATTCGAACAACCCGGGGTCATGGGAAACTTCGAATTTATTTCACTCTTTAAGGGATACAGAAAGCCCCTCCCCTCCCCCATATCAGACTACGCCTATAGTATAGATACTGGCCCAACACTGAGTTGTTAGATGACAGCTCAAACAGAAAGAAAAAGAAGAAGAGAACTAATCGTATTAATTGGAGCAAATGTTTTTGAATGCATCTGAACGTACCAATTTGACAAAATCCGAAACACCTAAGTTATTTCAGTTTGAAGCTTTACTTTCATTTATATGAGTAAGAACTATGTTTATGAGATTGAAAAATTGTTTTTAAATAATTTATCTGAACATCCCAAATCGATAAGATAAGATGCTCTGAAATTATTTCAGTTTGAAACTTTACTTCTATTGATATGAGTAAAGAGGGCTTCGGAGGGTGTAGTTAATTCCCCTCCCCCTCTCTAATAACGCACATGAGATAGATCTATTGTTTTGAATAATTCATCAGAACATACCAAACCACTAAGATAATCAACTTCGAAATTATTTCAGTTTGGAGTCTGACTTTCATTGCTACACCGGCAGTGTTGGCAGAAAACAGTGATTTTTGGCATTTATTTATTTTTTTTCTTTATTTTAGTGAATTTTAGCCATTGGCTAGTTCGTCACTTCGGCATTTATTTTGATACATTAATCTTTGAACAGCTTTAACTTTTTTTTTAGAGACATTCTAGCATCACTCATCCTTCGGAAAAAAATGTTAGCCATGACACCTTTTTTCCCATCTTTTGAAAAAAAAAAAACTGACAACGACAAAAATACAGTGTAAATAATACACTCTAAACTACTTCTACCCAAATTTTCAAGAAAAAATACCCATTGGGTAATTTTCTACAGGCTTTTTTCCGTGATGCAATTTGATGTGGGGCACCCTTTAAACAAACTGTTGACTGCCCATGACAACTAGGCGAATGTATTGAAAAACAAGCAACGTTTCAGCCAGCATTTAAATCGAAGGAAAAAAATAGTAATACAAAGTAGTAGTACAAAGTAGTAGTACAAAGTACAAAGTTGTCGAAAACAAAAAAGCTGCACAAAATTTGCCTGAAATTCA